TTTGTGTAGTCAATAAAGCATAGGTAAACATCTTTCCTATATTCTGTGCTTTCAGCCAAGATCCACTGGACATCAGCAATGATATCCCTTTTCTCACGGCCTCTTCTGAATCCAGCTTGAACCTCTGGAAGTTCTCTGTCAATGTATGTTTACAGCCGTTTCTGTATTACCTTTAGTAAAACTTTACTTGCATGGGCTATCAAAGATATTGTCCAATTATTTCCACATTCCATTGGGTCACCTCTCTTTGGAATGGGCACAAATATGGATCTTTTCCAATCAGTTGGCCAGAAGTTGTCTTCCAAATTTCTTGGCAGAGATGAGTATGCCTCCTGTGTCAACTCACTTTCTTGAACGAGTTCAATTTTTATTCCATCAATTCCTAATGCCTTGTTCTTTGCCAATTCCTTCAATGCACCTTGGACTTCCTCCTTCACTATCATTGGCTCTTGATCCTATGTTATGTCGTGAAATGGTTGAACATCAACCATGTCCTTTTGGTACAGTGACTCTGTGTGTTCCTTCCATCTTCTTTTGATGATTTCTGCATCATTCTATAATTTGCCCAGAGGCTTGAATTTTTAAGTAATTAAATAATTAAAGTCGAGGCTTGAATTTTTTCTTCAGTTCTTCCAGCTTGAGAAATGCTGAGAGTGTTCTTCCTTTTTGGTTTTCTGACTTCCTTTCTTTGCATATTTTGTTGTAATATTTGACTTTATCTTCTTGAGCTGACCTTTGAAATTTTCTGTTTCAGCTCTTGTACCTCCTCATTTCTTTCATTTGCTTTAGCATCTCTATGCTGGAGAGCAAGTCTCTTCTGATATTCATGTTGACCTTTTCCTTCTTTCTTGTCTTCTTAATGACTTTTTGCTTTCTTCCTGTATGATGTTCTTGATATCATCCCACAATTCTTCTGGTCTCAGTCTTTAGTGTTTAATGTATCAAATCTGTTCTTCAGATGATTTCTAAATTCAGGTGCGATATATTCAAGGTCATATTTAGGCTCTTGTGGACTTGCTTTCATTTTCTTCAGCTGCAGTGGAAGTTTCTATAGAAACTACTAGAATGCTGTTTTTTAGAATGCTTTCAACATTCATTTTCTAACTAACTCAGTTTACCTATTTAGCACTGGTACATATTGTGCTGCATAAACATTCTGGTTCTTGTCCTCTTATTCCCATTGAGAAGAATTTCTTTACATGACACTTTGTTGTTGTTGTTAAGTGCCGCTGACGCATTTCCGACTCATAGTGACCCTGTATAGGCTTTTTGAGGAGCAGCTGGTAGGTCTGAATCACCAAGCTTGTGGTTCAGTCCAGTGCTAATCCTATACTTGTTGTTAAGTGCTATCTAGTCAGTTCCTATTCATAGCAACCCTGTA